ATTTCTGTTTGATTCCCGAAATCCAGTCACACTTCCCCAATGACCTTGATGGCAACCCAGTGCTGAACTGAAAGCATCTCCAAATTTAGGGGATCGGAAAGCACCTCCCAGAGGCGGGCTGGCCCTTCTGGCATGATGGATGTGCATTTCGATCACGAGCGCAGGGTATGCATGTGTCCTCAAGGCCCAGCACAAACCAACTTTCCGCAGAGGTTTCTCTCAGGGTGCTTTGAGTTGGAACAGGTGAACTTGCAAACCTCAGGGATCTGGCGGTCTTATGCGGTCTTCCAGTATTGCAGCATGGCCATCCCGGGATATCGACAATAGAAGTTTTAGCGGAACCATGTGCTCCTCTCTGTTGGACTTGTTGGACTAGGGGGAGAACACCTGGACCCCAAGGCATCCAATATCATCCAATGCAATGTGGCTAGACCAACTATACAGAAATCAGCATCCCCATTTAGCAGTCAAAAATCAAATGGGTGCGTATAGTATACATCCTTCTCCTCCCCAAGTTTCTGAGATTGGACATGGAATGACATGGATTTGCCACGTTACTTCCAGTCATTTCACCCATGATCTGGTCCTGCAGCTGTGCAGCCAAAGCCGTTGACCAGGTGTCAGGAGGACAGGACCTTGGTGTCAGTGCTTTACGTTGCGATGCCAATGGACCGAGAACATGCTGCTTTGAGTGACAACGCCCATGAAGAAATCTGAAGGATTCTGAGGTCAATGCAGATATGACAAATCTGCATGCAGGGAGAGGGGTAACATACGATCATAATGTATACTTTGCACATTTATAACTAATATAAATATACACAGGCACACACACACACACATGCTCACATATATACACAACATACATGTAACTATATTTGACAGCACTATATAACCAGCGCCAGAATGCCGACAAGAATCTGGCATGCCTCGTTGCTTGTGAGACCAGCCTGGCTACTCCCTAGTGGGTCAAACTGGAAAGTCTAAGAGTCTAACACAGGAATCAGGAAGAAACTATTTCGTTGTCAATCAGTACGCCTTGTGAATCCGAGCGCAGGCATGATCTTGGATTATTTGCTGATACGCCCAAAATAATCACAAATATACATGCTCACAGCTGCTCAAACAAACAAAGGTGAACATACTAACATACATGTTTTTTTTCCCCTAATCAAGCGCCAATGAAGGTGCGCAGCATGACCCAGAGCGAAGAGAAACCCTTTGAGGTAATGATTTCTTTGTATTTACTCAGTAAGCCCGGAGGCTGATGGCCAGGATGTTTAGCGACTGAAAGGCCCGCTTCGGGAGGTAGCAGCCTCCACTAGATACTGTAATGTCATTGAAATGATTGAAATCAGTCGGCACTACCCACCCGAGCGCGTGATAGGCAAAAGTTTCTGTTAGCTAATCCATTTTTGGTCGACCCACCCTTCTTGTATGTTCTGGGTGAATAAGTTTTACAGTCAAATAATACTTGCCGAAGTGGATCAGTATGTCCTGCTCTCAAAATGTGTCCAAATAATTTTAACTTTTGCTTTCGCATGCTTTCGCCATATATCTGAGTTTAGTCATATCTACATTGTATTGCGAGGCTTTGTCACGAACAATTTGGTTGGTTTGCGATCTATCGATAAATGTAGGTGGGACTCGTAGTATTCGCCTAATGCATTCAATATATTTTAATCCATTTCAATTGGAAAGCGTCTATTTTGTCCATTTCATTTTGGGTAAGCTGGATTGTTTCCAGGCCATGATTACATAGGATTTGTTTTGATGATTGCGTTGAAAACCTGTAGTTTCCATGTCGTGCTTGTGTTTGCTTTGTTCCAAAACAATTTGATATAACTGAAAACATGTCCTAGTGTCCATCGCCAAGCGATTGTGTATCGACTCTAATTTGTTGTCCATGGTACCTGCGTTGACGTGGCACTGTTGAACATAAAAATGCAGATGCAAAAACACATGTAGATAAGACCCTTGCCTCGAGCACAAACAGCTGAATAGTCTTCATAGGCTTATGGACGAATGTATGTACAAATGTGTGGCAACCAGCGTCGCCCGACACACACACACACAAACACACAGAGACACACGCAGCTGCATAGACACGCATACTCACACGCACAAACAGGAACATGCACACATCGATTCATGCGGGCATGAATCATGGCAACCATTCATAGTAACATTTCGTGCACGTCACGTTTGAACAATACATGTAGGATTGCAACTGTTTGGACATGCACAAAGCGTCATGATCATGTATCCGAGCGTGTTTGGGGGGCCACATCCGGTTTGTATTTTCTTCCAAATTGATTCTTGGATCTGCACGTGGCATCCTCGGCAGTGGGGATTGAACAACCGCAGTGACTGTCTTAAAGGTGCTGTCGCAGGCCGCAGTTGAGCCACCAAACTATGGCTGTTGGTGTCACTCACCCTCTGAGGGCAAAATCTACACATGATACTAGAAGCATCTTTCGGAGAGACATCGACTGTACATATACACCTACACATATATCATATATGCATCCAGCAGACACACACACACGCACACACACATATATATTATATAGAGATACAAAATGATACAAACATAAACCACACATACATATCCAGCCATGTCCGTCCATAGATGACAAAAGAACCACCCAAACTGGGCTTTCAAATGGGACTGGATTCACTGGATCCGAGGTGTGATCTCCTCATGGAAAACGAGGTCGTTAAGCCGTTTAAGTTTCGGCCTGAGAACTGTAGCGCCCAGCACCGCAAGCTTGGCAAGCCTAAGAGTACAGCGCCCACTCTGAACATGAAGTCATCATAGTCATCCACACTGTGAAAGGGTTTAAGGGAACACATGGAACAAATTAATACACATTACAGGAAAACTTGGTTCTTGTCGTTCAAAATTCAGGTTTCCTGCAAGCTTTCCATTCATCCAATTCTGGGACACAAATTAGCAGCAGTAGCGGGGCGTTCTATGGGCATGCTCGGAACACAACAGCTCCATTTGTTGGACATCAGATGACATCAGGGTTCCTGTTGCGTCAGCAACTCCTGCCGGAGGCTCCTTTTCTTCGTCGCCAGTTTGCTCCAGTTTGAAAGGTTTCCGAGCTTTTGTCTTTGACATACGCTCACTTGCCGAGCAGTCTTCACGACAGGGGCCCTCGACAACGCAGGACAACTAACAGCTGCAACATTCTCCACTTACCACAGGATCCACAGGCAACGAGCCAACCCTGATTGGGCTTTTCGCGAAGAAACAACCCGAAAAAAATCGATTAAGAAATCTTGGATGACCCCAAGAAGCTGCACTGTCATCTCTGCCTGGTGTTCATCACTCCTATCCAAATTGGGAAGTGCTATGCACTCAAGTGTGCCCGTGAACATAAACTTTCTCAATTCTATGGCAGCTTCTTCACGGTTTCATCCTGAAATCTGAAGTGAGACAAAGCAAATCGTTGTTCGTTGTTCCATGGTTCGCTGTCCCTGCATGTCCCTGCAACTTGTGGATTGGAAGGATGCAACCATGTACGGGAAAGGACCTAAGGAGCAGTGGATAGAAACGAAAGGATCTGTGACTGTTCTGCAGAAAAGGCCCTCCAAACAGAGTCCAAACAAGTGGCTTGTGGTTTAGGGTGCACGACGCACATCGCACCTCCCCACATGCACACAGCATCCATACATACTGTGGATGGAAGAAATCTTGCACCAGTTGATATATCTCTCTCTCCATCGCTTTATCCCATTATATATTTATAGGGTTTCAACCATACAAGGTGGTGCAGGATTTCTTCCATGCCATAGTATGTATCTAGGCATATCTAGGTATCTGTGTATCTATGTGTTCACGTATTCTTGTAACGATTCTATGTAGCTATGCACATACAGACACACACACACATGCACATACACACTCACATACTAATACACATACACATACATTCATGCATGCATTATATTAACATTAATATTAACATTTACATTACATTGCTTTATATACATGTACATTTGCACTGACATTGCCATTTACATTTAAACTACATACATACATACACACACACAGGTATGCATATGCATGTCACATCAAATGTCTCTAAAATCCGTGCATTGATGTGAGTTGGGTATAAGTGCAGTACAGCTCCCCCAGCCCAAAAACGCACAAACACACACGTAATGCAATGTAATGCAACGTGATGTGATGATATGTGGTGTGATGTGATGTGATGTCACGCGACGTGACTAATGTATTGCATGCATGGACGCACGTACATACGTACGTATGAACATGCCCATTCCTTTTCTTGGATATACATGCACACATAGTCACACATACACAGATAATCATGCACACAGCAAATGTCTGCATTTTTTCTGCGATAGACTTCATCATTTTCATATGCCGCGTGGCGGCCACATCCTGACGGGATACTTGTATGACTGCAGTGATCCTTGGCCCCAAATGTGTGATTGGGTGCTTCGGCATACAATGCTACACAAACACAAGTAGTCACGAGCATGGGTGAAAGGCAACATAAATAAGCTAACCCATTCAGGCCCACAAAATCCTAAAATCAGCTGTCGCAAAATGTACTGGGTACTAAAGGCGCTAAAGGCACCTACTTCTTGGACAGAAACAACATGTAGCAAATGTTGTCAGGGCAGAAAGAAGCGAGCCATGTGTCTTCTGTGACATCAGCCGGCTCCACCCAGACACTTTGTGAATTACACAGTGCCGACCCCCAATGGCTGAAAAGGCAAGCATTTGCATTGCCTTCCTGACCAAAATCTGAGGCTCAGTACTGGCTACGCCAAAGGAAACCCCCTCCAATCGCTTCAAACTTCCACTTTAAAGTCCATGTTCCAGGCATGGATAAATGAATTCACAGGAAACGGCCTGTCTTGCTCTTGGCTCAAGTCTGATCAAAATTCATGTGCAGAAATCAGCTGTTTGAGTTGCGAAGTCACCATGATTCAACCAATTGTCTTGAAAGACACCCATATCAATCGGATTTCCTGCCGCGATTTTGGTCCATCAGAAGCTGCTTTGACTTTCTGATCAGCCGTGGATTCGGTGGACATGGTCTCGCAGCCGGCCAGTTGACGGCTGGCAGTCAGCCGCTGCACGGCTGCCATCATTAGACTGACCCAATGACTTTTTCCTCGGATAGTGATAGGAATGCGGGATTTTGACTCTGAAACTGCGATTGCTGCTAGCTCCCTTTTTCCGAGAATGCATTCTGCACATTGCTGTGCATCTGCGAGGCTGTGCAAAGAGTTGCGCTGCACTGCCGAAGTGCATCAGCAAATGACTCGTTGGAGCTTGTACGGCCCCTCATTTCTGTGCAAGCGACTTTCTAACTCTCGCCTCAGGCTCTGCGCTTGGACGATCTGTGAGCACAGCCAAAAAAGTTTTAAGGGGAGGGCGACAGCCTCTGAAAGGCTCAACATTTCTCAAGGGCAAATCATGGCAAATCCCATCTCCACAGCCGAAAGCATATTCACAAGCAATATGCCCTTGCTGCATTGGGTTGGTCCATGGTCTAAGTTCACCAAAACATGCTAGTTCCACCATGTTCCATGTATTTCAGTGGTTGTTGTATCACTGTGCAGAGGGGCCTCTGCCACCTTCATCAAACGTGATCGAACGTGATTCTTTGCCGAAAGTCTACAGTAGGATTGTGGGATGGTGTTGGTATTTGTAATGTATTTGTATGGATATGTTGGTATGATATGGTATGATTGTTTGGATCTCGTCAAGTTGCTGCCGGTCGGAGATCTCCTGGGGAGGTGGCTTCTCGAGATGTGTCAGGCACCAAAATCATCCAAAATCATCCAAAAACTGTGTCCCATGGATGGAGCTATCGGGTGAGTCGAAGAGTCCATCATGTCCATCAATTTCAAGCACTTCAGCCTTCTACATCTGCAACTGGTCCCGGGTATCTACTTGTATCAGCATCACCAACCTTGTATCAATCAAAGGTATTGGTATTCCGGCGAAAGCCACCAGGAACACCCGACCCTGCCCTTGGAAAAACACTCCTTAATGGTGTTTGCCAGCGCAGTTGTATCCGAGTCCGCTTCGTTCAAACGAGCCCAGTTGCCACCTGGGATCATGGCATGCTGGCCTGCCAGTATTAAAAAAAACATGTTTGCGCGGAGTGGGGGGGACGTACGTATAGGCACATGCAAATATGCATATAGAAACATAATTCCCTAGTCATATGTATGATTATGATTGATTATGTGTGTATATATATATATATGTTATCATATAATATGCAAACTTAATATGTATAGTCTAGTATAGTCATGATTAATTATGCGTATTGGCTTTCAACAAGCTCCGAAAGTCACCGAAAAAAAACATCTAGAAGCCACTAGGCGGCCCCAGGACCGCACCTGTCATCTCCAATGTCAAGCGATCACCCAGCCACCGAAGCCTTGGAATGGCAAACTGCAACATTTCAGGCACCAACCATCACCATCCATCATCAACCTCTTAGCTTTACACCTCAAATTGCCCAGCTGGCGAAGTGGTTTCTTAGAGTTCACTGCGCTGAGACATCCGATGGCCTACCGATCCAAGTACTGGCTACTCGACCGACTCGGCGCCAAGAGACCGAGCTCTTGATATACACGTGCGGAAAATAAAGCGATTCTTCACCACTTGAACCTGGGCACAATACACAAATATTACACAAATCATAATTGCACCACATCCACAACATCCACAAGGATTGTTGGGTACGCTGGCAAAGTGAGTCTCAAAAGGAGTTGCACGCTGTTGCATGTGTGGTGAGCGAAGTTGTCCATCAGGAGGGAACTGATGCCGACCGTGTCCAGCCAAGGCACAAACTCAGCTAGATCTGAGAGGTTGCAGGGCACGATCTTTGCATCTTCTCCCGCTGGTGATGAAGCAACAGCTGGATGCAGATTGCAAATGATATCCACCAACACCTGGTGTCAATTCACGGATAGACCCAAGAGCTTGATGCACCAGCCCTACCGTATGGTTGTATATGGCAATTCCTGATAAAGGAAGTAACTAACTGATCAACGACTAAGAACCTGAACATAGCGGAGGACAGGCCAGGAAGGGGCCAATCGTGTATATACAGAAGACATACAGAAGACATGGGGGATAAAGCAGGCCAGAACTTTGTCCTGTCATTTGCGACAAATATCTGCGACGTGGATGTGTGCTAATGTATGTTCATCGGATCACCCAGCCTCAAGCAGGAGGCTCAAACCAATAACTTTGTTTTGCTGTGCGTTTTGCACCTCAGCTATTGCGCAATTCATCGAAAGTGATCGTACGCTTTCAGAATCTTTCAGGCACCTTGCAAGGGTTGATCTTTGTATTAGGAATTTCGTGTGTTCTTTTTCATCTTGTTTCATTTGTTGAATGGTGCATGGCAATATATGGCAATGGTTTTCAGAGCTCAGGGGGCACAATGACTATCAATGACTGGCTAGTGAGGCTTACTAAGTCCTACTAAGCTGAGATTTGCACACAGGCAGGGAGGAACTCCAAAACATAGGCGCGTTGATCCATTCCATCCGCAAGGAAGTGGTCCATCAGAAGGTCTCTTTCACGAATACCTGGGCTTAACATGGGCAGGATCAGGAAGATTTGGCCACGTTAGACGCATTGGATGGACACATCTTTACACCCATCTTCAAGCATAGCTTTGAATTGTCATGACTTTAGGTGAAACGACGTGGAGCACTATGGCATAACATATAGAAATGATCAAACGCCCTCCCCGGATGATGCCGCTGGAATGCCTAGACCGTCCCAAGCCGAGCGAAGGTGGACATAGGATTTGGGATCTTGCACCCGTGCCAGGCATGCCAAGCGAACTAACGCAAAATCCTTGCACAGGATAGGGAAACACACAAGATGGAGAGCCACTTGCAGCCTCTGAAAACCTTGCCTTTGAAAGGTTCAGACATCTGCCAAACCTTGTCATATTCTTGTCATCCCAGAATTGTCCGTTCACCTGTCTTCCCGAGACTGACATGAGGAACATGGTGGAACATGGCGGAGCTATCCTAGGTGCAGGCCTGGATAAATACCTGGCGGTACGAGCGGAAGGAATTGCAGTTTCGAACACCAAGTATGCATGCACACCTTCTTCCTGCGCGTTTGCATGCAGTATTATCATATATGATCATATGTATATATATATATATGTATAGACCATATATGTATAGTTATCAAAAGAGGTTCAGTTAGAAAATTTCCGAGTTATGGACGAATGTCCAGGGGCTTGCCATCATGTCATCATCATGTCAACATCATGCCATGATCAAGCGCGTGTGGGTGCAGTAGAGGAGAGTAACTGTTCGGGAACGCGTGAATTCATGGGCGAAAACACTCCGGGGGCTTCCGGCATGGCCGAAATAGGAGGATCTCTGTTTCTGCGGTTTCGCCCCTCGAACTGCCAAAGTTGGCGGAAAAACGCGCACGAGACTGTAGCGAGTGCCGGGCACCATTTGGTATATGCAAATGTACATGTACGTACACACACACAAACACCCACACACACGACACACACACACACATATATATATATAACTACATCATGCAGTGGAACTTTGGCGCGTGCAAACATGGGTATGTAAAAAATAGATGATATTTCTATAATTCCAACCAACATCAAACAACTAACATCGTTAACGCCTAGGGATGTGACCAGAAGGAACCAACTCTTTCGCAGCAACTGCGTCCTCTGCAGTCTCCCTTGGGATTTCTAGGGCGTCAGCACGGGCCTCAGCAAAAGGATGTGCATCCTGTGAGAAACCGGAGAATTGCCTAATATAGCCTATATCAATACCATTCAATACCTACAATACTGATGTGCCTGACATTGACTGACTGCAATTGGTTATTTATGGTTGTGCTCCATACGTAACCGGATTATCCCATGTTACAACCGTAGCAATGAACCATTTACTAGCCTTTGCAATTGACATATTGGAAAACCAACAACCCCAAAAGAACAGTGTCAGAAAAGCCCGAACCACACCGAGGGCAGCGGCTGCGGACCTTTTCACCATCTTGAGCCAAAACAACTATATAATAAAGATTACATAGACCTTGGCCGGAATGGAAGGGTTTAACAACAGTTTAACTACTGAATAAGTGAGTATGATTTACTCCACAATATTCACGTCCCCCTAACCATGAACTGTACTGTGATCAAAGGTCCCTACGGATTCTGTACACATGGTTGCCCTGCGCGCTACGGGCTTCCATGAACCCTTAAGTCCAAATGAAAGCTGACGGCTCATTTGATGCATTCTATTCCATTAAGAAACCTACCATGCCTGACAATTCCATGCAAAAGTGTGCCATGCATGTCAATTACCGATGCTTGAAGTCCAACCGGATGCAAGTGGAGAAGCGTCTTAGCAGCTAAACTCCAGAACTTGGCGGGTGACGGTAGAAAAGACAGTGAAAGTCTAAGTGACAAAGGCAAAACCTTGGAAGTGTGAAGGCAAACTCAGTTATGCCAACAAACTGTGCGATTAGCAGAACCCAAGGATTTAAGAAAGCAAATCATAAAGCTATAGGGTGGACTTAGTCACATCCATGCAAATGACATGCCCATCATGCTCTTAAATTGCCACGCAGCATGTGCCTTTCATGTTCAACAAGTTGTAGGGCATGCCCCCACTTCAGGACAGAAAGCCCCGTGGTCATGATGGGACTTCTCTGATTGTCAGTGCCAACATGAGTGATCTGGATGTCGTCGTTTTGATTGACGGCCTACAGCTGGAAGCAACATGAACACGATGCGTCTTGGCAAGACGCCGCAGTTTCTGTGAGAAACCTTTGGCGATGATTGAGATAACAGCTTTGTTGTCTTCCAAAATCCTTAGGAGCATGGAAGGGTAGATGGTTTGCCACAATTTCAAAATCGGCAACCCTTCAGCGAACAAAGACCCTGACAACGACACAAAATCTGACTCTGTCGTGCTTCGGCAAACAACACCTTGCTTGTGGCCTCCCCAAGACAAAAGGGCGAAGCGTGACTTACCTTCAAGAGCTGTGACAAAGCCTGAAGCTGACTTGGCGTCATTGCTGTCACCAGCAAAATCTGCATCACAGTAAAGAGCAATATCCAGCTCAGCTCATTCAAAGGATCCAAAACAACCATATGATGTGCAAGATTGATCGTGGAAGACAAATAGCCAACCAAACGAGCAACTCGACAGTCGTCATTGGAGGACCAACAAGTGATGTGCTTCGCTAACAGGTTTACAGCAAAAGTGATGTCCGGTTGTGATGCACGGCTTAGCCACATGAATTTCATCACCAGCCGCGCCGCAACTGAAGACAATTGGCCTTTAACAGCATCCTCCTCAGCCAGAAGAGATCCATCTTCAAGATGTGGCGATCTCGCGGCTTTTGGAGCTTTTTCCACTAAGCTCTTGATTGAGTGCGATGCATCGCTTAGCAAAGTCGCTGGAGCCCAACACCAATGACCCATCTTGAAGGACATGGTCGCGACCTAGCACACGGCCAAAATCTGTAGCAGGATCAAGGTTCACATACTGCTGAAGCTCCTTCCAGAAAGAGGCATGAGAAGACTTCTTTCCAGACAAAGTCAGATCATCGACATAGACTGACATTAACATGCGACCACCCTCAAACCACCAGACCGATGGCATGTTTTCAAATTCAGTTCCGGAACTCTTCAACTTCAAAAGGCCGGCCACATGCAAAGACCAATGTGTGCTCGACTCTGGATGACGATACAGAGCTTTATAAAGCCTGGCTCACGGTTGAACAATATGGCGCTTTTCGAACGGAACTAACTCCGGTGGAAGCAAGACAAAGGTCGGATGTTTTGATTTGAGTGGACATTGGGTATAAGCACGAATGCAATCCGAAGTGGTGCAAGAGTGATCTTCTAACATCGCATAGGCCATTACAATGTTGAGACCTGCAATTAAACTGGGTGCACTGGCATGGAGCTCTTGAAACACTGCCGACAAACCGTCCTGATCGCGAACGGCATCGCCACGAAAAACTATTCTGGCTTTGATTTTCTAATCGGCTGGCTGGCTGTTTCTCATACCCTTTTATGCTTACGATTACCATAAGGGAACCAAAATGCACCGTGGAACCAGCAAACTGCTTCAATGCATCCTCCTAAGAAATAATTTCAGATTCCAACCACGTACCTTCCTGCAAAAGTCTATTTTTCTCTGCATCAATGGCGTCTTGAACTTCCGGTCGTCCTTTCCACTCCTTACGATCCAGAACTGGATGGACAAAAACTCCAACCGCAACTTCTTTGCAGCCAACTTCATACATGACCTCTTCAAGTGGCATGCGTGGGAAACCGGAAACAGCTTTAGGACGGTGTGAATGGATCTTTTGAAGTTCAAAAGGTAGGCATGGCACATGCTGATTGACAACATGGGGAAAGAGAGAATCCAACATTAAAACACATAGAGGTCTGGGATAGTATGCAGACAAACGAGCCCACTTACCTTGCACATGATCATGTTTCGGATGATCGCACTTCAACTTTGAAAGTCGGCCTGCAAGACGAGCAGAAGATGTGACGAATCTCCATGGCTTGCGAGCTGGCATGTTCTTGGCTGTCACACCAACAGTGCGTCCATCGAAAGTGCGTGAGTGCAAATTCCAAGGTACAATGCAGTGAAGTAAAGGACCCAACGACCATCTGGTGCAATACCTAGGCCACTCAAAACTTGCATTGCCTCCTTGTTCAAGACAACATCTGCAACTCTGATGAACTGACACAACAGAGCTTCGCTCGCCAATCTTTCTTCTTCAGTGCGGGTATGCAAACGAGGATTCTAGGCTTTGTTCAGATTTGCCACTGTGACCAAAGACGACACTCAATGGAGCAATGCATCGAACAACCTGGTAATGCTTTGGCTTGATCAATCAATTGTTCAATGCTCGCCGGATCTTCTAGATTGACGTGTTCTTTGCACAAACGAATTACCTGAAGACCATGCTCAGCCCCTACATTTCCTAAGTTGGAATCTTTATCACAAGCAAATTCGAAAAGAACTCTTGAACCTTTCAACGAATGCCGGCCCTTCAATTGCCGAGCATCTTTGGTGGTGTCATCTTGTGGATGGGCTGTGGCGCCAAGGCTGCCAGTCACGCCCCCCTGATTCAATGATTCATTGAAAATGGCTTGGACACATTCACGAGACAAAAATGAACACGCATCATTAGCAACTTCGGCAACAACTGACAGACCAGCAACTGACGAACGGTCGGGAGGTTCCTCATGCTCATCATTGTTGTCCGGCGGGCATTGAGGAACATCTTCATCGGACAATTCCTCTCTGATGGATGGTGACGGGGAAACATCAAATCTATCAGAAATCAACGCATCATCAATCGTTGGCAAGGACTTGTGCAATCGGCCTGCTGGCCTCCGAAAACTCCTGAATGATTTCCAATTTGTTGTCGAACAAATGAAACTTCCCACTGATTGCCGCACGAATGGCCGCTAGTTTCCCCTGAGGACCTGTCCTTTCAGTTGTAATAAAAACTAGATGTACCGGCAGACCACTTTGCTCCGTAATGTGAATCAGACTCTCCAAGTTGCGAGAAGATGACTCAATGTGGCTGCAGATCACAAGATGGACCGGGCGTTCAGACAGTTGGCACAAGTGGCTTAACTCAGTTGATGTAGCCTTGTGCCGGTGAGGAACCTGCCCGTCAGCGTCAATCCACTCAGCACGCCACTTTGTAATGCGATCGGTGTCCAGCACCTGGTGCCATTCCAGCACGATTGCCGATCCCGGCAACTTCCCAATGTTCTCCTCAACCTTCACCAGAGACGGCTGGTCTTGCGACCAAAGGTAAGCTTTCACACTCGGATGGAGTCTTGCTGGAGTAAGAATCTGTATTACGAAATCCAAATGGTTCTGTCACAGGTGGAAGCCCAGGGAATGGGAATGCTTTGTGCTACTGAGGTCCAGAAAAACGATACGGATCAACCAGAGGTGATGATGCTGATGCAGGCTCAACCGAACCGTCTTCAATTGTAATCACTCGCGGCTGTGATGAGGAAGATGGAGCAGAGACAGGCTTCGCCTTAGAAACCACCGACGAAGAAGCAGATGCACTAGCCTTAGGCTTTGCAAATGCCGACGCAGCTCTGCTTTTCCCCTTGTCGTAGGGATCTGAAAAACCACGGGCTTTGGGAACCAGCCCACCTGTGCGCACAGGCTGATACAACGCCGACTGAGGGACCAACTGCACCGAACTCAAATCACTGAGCGACCTCCGAGGCTCTGGATACCCCGCAAGCCCGACACCATCGTCTGAAGAATCCGCGTTCGGCCCCCAAGTCCTTGGCGTGTGAAGAGGTCTCGCCTGACCATCCTGATGAACAATCGCCACCTGGTCAGGGTCCTCACCTTCCTCTATACGATGGCGAATATACGCCTGGCGCTTCCTCCGCACCGCCTTTCCAGAACGAATCCCACGGGTCCAACCAGGTACTTCACCGTGTTCCCTGGCGAACTCCTCGTAAGGACCGTCTTCCATGCGCAGGCTTTTAGGGAGCCTGCCAACCATAAAAATGAATGATGAGGGGAAACAGGAACCAACCACAACAGCAACAGTCAAAGAGACCGATACAGCTGATAACCAATTGAAATGTTGATTAACCAACAACCCCAAAAGACAGCTTGAGAAAAGCCCGAACCACACCGAGGGCAGCGGCTGCGGACCTTTTCACCATCTTGAGCCAAAACAAGTATATAATAAAGATTACATAGACCTTGACCGGAAAGGAAGGGTTTAACAACGGTTTAGCTAATGAATAAGTGGGTATGATTTACTCCACAACCTGAGAAGGGGGGAAACGAAAGCCAGCATCCCACCTACCCCTATTTTCACCAAAAGATTTTTCACCCACAGACTTTTCACCCATAGACTTTTCACCCGGAGTCTTTCACCCATACTTCTCACCCGTATACTTTTCACCCACAGACGGTTCAACCATACACTTCTCGCCCACAGACTTTTCCCCCATATACTTTTCACCCACAGGCTTTTCACCCGCATACTTTTCACCCAGAGACTCTTCACCCAGAGATTCTTCTTGCACAGACTTTTCACCCAGAGACTTTTCACCCACAGGCTTGTCACCCACAGACTTTTCACCCACAGACTTTTCACCCACAGGCTTTTCACCCATATACTTTTCACCCAAGGCTGTTCAACCATATACTTTTCACCCAAAGGCTTTCGCCCATACACTTTTCACACACAGACTTTTCACCCATACCGTATACCTGTTTCACCCATATACTTTTGACCCACGGACTTTTCACCCACACACTGTTCACCTACGGACTGTTCAACCATACACCTCTCACCCGCACTTTTCACCCACAGACATATCACCCGCAGACCTTTCACCCACAGACTTTTTAGCGACAGACTTTTCACTTATATATTTTTCACCCAGGGACTCTTCACCCAGCGAGTCTTTTTCCATAGGCTTTTCACCCACATACTTTTCACCCACAGACTTGTCACCCACATACTTTTCACCCACAGACTTTTCACCCACCGTCTTTCACCCATATACTTCTCACCCATATACTTTTCACCCAAGGCTGTTCAACCATATACTTTTCACTCACAGGCTTTCACCCATACACTTTTCGCACGCAGTCTTTTCACCCACAGACCTTTCACCCGCAAACTTTGCAGCCTCAGACTTTGCACCCATACCCGTTTCACCCATATACTTTGGGTGTGAAATAGTTTTAGGTTTTTTTTTTGAGCAGGTTTGTTTTTTTTTGGATTTCCTGGCTGGTACAATTTGCCTAGTGTTTGCAACGGTTTGGGCCTTGAATTTGTCATTTTGCATGGTAATGCATGGTATTTGCCACATTTGGGCATGTTCACCTTCCATTTTGCATGAGATTTCCTGCATGTGGGCGTGTTCACCTTCCATTTTGTATGGTATTTGCCACATTTTGGCATGTTCACCTTCCATTTTGCATGGAATTTGCTACATGTGGGCGTGTTCCCCTTCCATTTTGCATGGGATTGGCCACATTTGGGCATGTTCGCCTTCCATTTTGCATGGGATTTCCTACGCTATCTACCCATCTACCCATCTACCTATCTACCTATCTACCTGTCTACCTATCTATCTAATCTAATCTAATCTATCTATATATCTATCCATCCATCTATCTATCTATCTCTCTCTCTGTCTATCTACCTGTCTATCTGCCAGCTTGAAAACCAAGCTATTCTGCGAGACTTCCTCATTCTTCGAAGTTGACCACATCAAAAACGAAGCAAATCTGCGAGACTTCCTCAATTTTTTAACTTGACAACATCCTAAACGAAGCAATTCTGCGAGACTTCTTCAATTTTTGAATTTGACAACATCAAAAACAAAGCAATTCTGGGAGACTTCCTTCGAAAATGGAAAGTTGAGTGCAGCGCTGACGGCCTCGTACCAATGCGTCTTGCGATTTTTCCAATCCACCTGTCTATAGTATTGCGCCTGCCATGACAAATTGATGCCAGGTCATACGAAGTGCTGCACCTGTCACGCAAAATCATCTTAGCAAACCTACATTTTTTCTCCAACAACGCAGCCACCTCCAAGCTAAGAAACTGGGCGAAGACGGCGTAGGCGAATGCCATTTAATTTGAATGCAAGCATCACTCAATCAAAAGAACTCATGTAAAGGTGGCACAAAATTGAGCGGATTATTTTTTGCAGCAAATCTGGAGGCACACCCCATCAAGAAAGCGAAGATATGATCCGGAAAATGGAATGAACGAGAAATGTGCAGGGAAGCTACGTGGCAAAATCCAAAACTCAACAAATGTGTAGATCTCAGGGCAGTAATGGACAGCTGGTGGGATTGGAACAGTCGCATGGCAGCTCGCTTGAACCTTTGGACAAGCACTTTCAAAGTCATGGATTGATTTATGAAACCCGGAAAGTATCCAAACTGGAAAACAAAATCTGCCATGATTTCAACCCACGACGTTCTATGGATGGATCTATGCGATCCAACGACCCATGCCGATTGGGAGAAAAATTCACAAATAGCGCCAGCTGCGCTGGGGCTAAGCCGCATGGGTCCGGCAGCCAAAAATGCAGGATCTGGACTTGTGACTAATGGCTGCCACATTTCTTGGGGATAAGCGATGGCGATATACCTGTTATGGTGAGAAGATACTCTAGTTCTGATAAAAGGACTAATTGGTTCGCCTCGTTTAACACAAGAGATGAACATGTTTTCGGCATCACCGGCACGGATTACCAGTGGGCGACACGTCCCAGAACAAACAGAGCCCTTAGAAAAAATCCGAGTTTTGGGGGCGCAGGAGCATACAAATGATGAAGTCAACGCCTTGTAATGGGGAAAAAAATCTTGCCCCGCTGGTATCTCCGCTGGTAACATTTTGAAGAGCGAACTACGTGTGGCCAACGTATGGACCAAATGGGCCTGCAATGACATGGCCAATGCAAGTTCTTCGCAGGCCGTTTGTTGGCGGGCTTCGAGGAAAGCCCAGGCAGTATCTTTTGCTAACTTGTCAGCACAAGAATTACCTTCGGTGAGAAAAGGATCTTGACAAAGGTCGTGTTTACCACAGTGGGCTTTTACTTTATACATCGCGAAAGGCTGGCTTCGCTTGTTGGCCACAAAATTGAACAAAACCCACAGATCCCGATTGTCAAGATTGGTGATACATTTATTTGAGAAGCCACAGCGTCGTAAGAAATTGACAATGTTGACCACATTTGCACAATCGGAATAAATTGTGATATTTCCGGCGCAGTGCCACAAACCTGCGATGACTGCAAATATCTCAGCCCGTTGGCTTGTTTGATCAAGGCCTGGTAGGAGATAAGCTTTTGAGCATCCACACTTCGAAACAACGGCTGCTGCAGCAGATCTCATAGGTGCCCAAGAGTGATGAAAACAAGAGCCATCAACAAAAATTGGACTTTCAGGCTCAAAAGCTTGAAAATCCTCCATGGGAAGAACGGGCCTAGAGACAACTTCCTGCCGCCACTGGGTGATTAGTTCACCTTCTGGGAAAATGCCTGTACACCACGTTGTGTCATGGAAGAAACTTGAAGGTCGATTCCTTTCGTAGAGACCACACGATTTGAATAAATGAAGGTGGTCTTCTCTTTGGTCGCATCCTTCACACTTATCATCCGTAGTAATCCCTGCGGCTTTGCATCGTGCTCTAGTAAGAACACTGCCAGTCCTCAGGGCCCGCAGTAGGGACTTCGTGTAGGCATGATTCTTTGGCAAGAATTGAATTGCATCCTGCGCAAGTTGTCTGTCAGAAAAAGACGCCAAAGAAGCGTCTTCGAGAATGCGTGTTTTGGCTATATCGATGTGGAGATCAAGTTCGCCTTGCCAGTCGTGCCTAGCTGGGACACGGGCCAACAACATTACACGAACTGATCTTGCAAGTTCCTCGTGAAAATTCTTTTTTGATCCGTAGAGTAAATCAATCGGGGTGTCACCTGGCCGGGAAAACGTCATGCTTTCGTCTTCACGGAACGACCACTTGAGCCGGCTGAAGACGACAGCCAGAACATTGGCCGCTCCATTGGAATTTGCTGAGCAAGTCTGACGTTTCTCTTTGGCGCTGCTCACGAGCCGAGCAGCAGCTGCGGGATCCTTAAAGGCCAGGTCCCTTAGTCTAGATAAAATTCGTTTGAAAGCGGCAGCTTCAGGATCAACAAAAGGGTCATGACCAGTGGCCAAAATAAGATAAGGGGACCTATTGGTTTTTAAGCCTTTTGACAACGCCTTAACCACTGCCTTTCTCAATTTGTCAAGCTTCGTATTGTTTGGTAATTGGCATTCAACACCGTGCAACCACTTAGAATGGGCAACAGAATGGATGAACCCCGTCATGTCATGTTCATTACATGGTAAACAAGACAGTTTCTTCAGGGAACGAAAAGCTGATTCTACCCGAGAATTTTGGAATGCTGCGGATTTTAATCGGTCAACACGGTGGGTAAACCCAAGTGATTTCGCAACTGTCTTCCTTGATACTTTGACCCGGACACGCCGCAAGAATTCTTCTGCTTTCTTTGTTTTTCTGGCTAGCAAGAATGTTTTATCGAAGTTTACTTTTTGTCCTACTGCGGTGTCATAAGCAACAAGTTCATTGAATGCCTTTTCAAGATCGGAGGAAAACAAACCCTTAGCCCAAATTTTCACATCATCAATAAAGCATGCTGATGAAACTTTGGGGTACAATCGCTGAAGATGCGCTGAAAGGATTGCATACATTGAATTGACCATAATGATGCTCATAGAACAGCCTTGCACAGCAGCATTTGTTCCCATTACTTTTCTACCATAGGCATTCCCAAGTTTGAAGATTTTTACCTGGTGGTGATAAAATGCGAGGGTGGCCCGAAAGATTTGGTCAGGGATACCCAGAGAAGAGGCCAAACCCATGGCTAATTCTGGTAAAATAAGGTCAAAGCATTTGGTTCGATCAATAAAGACTGCAATGGGGTCATC